GACTGTGATGCCTGCCATTAGAAAGTTAGCCAACAATCAGGAATTTTAGATTTGTTTATTTCACTAGACATCAGAAATTCTTTTGTTCAATTTTGATTCTTTGTGAAGAATGCACGTGGGGTCCAGCTTCCCCGAACACAGGAGAAAAACAAAAGGAACCAATTCATTGGTAGGGAAACTGGTCCCAGCTGAAGCTCTTAACTTCCCACCTCCCTCTGTTCCTGTACCCCATGGTGCAGCCAGTTTCACTAGTTCCCACTGCCATCACCACATCACCCTGCCACAACTCACTGTCCCCAGAGGCCACCAGCCATGGCACAGTGGCCAAAAGGAGGGAAGAACCTCACAGGTTTTGCTACCTGAAGCCAATTGCCTTAATTTCCTCACCCTCCGTCTTGGACTTTCCTCTTCCTTTTGCACATTTCATGTTTCACATGGATGCCTATAATGATTTCTAGACAATACCACAGCTTTGGGCATGGTATCATTAATATGTTTGGTTACTGTCAATGAATACCACAAAGACCATACTAGCCTTCATAGGCAGCGCCAAATGAGATCCTGGCTGTTTGGTACTGGCTTCCATTTTATTATGAAAATATAGTTTCATCCCCACACTTCCTTACATACACTTGCATCATTTTTGAATTTTTCTGACTTCCAAATGCCTCATGCTCTTCAGAGGAGTCACAGAATCTTGCAGAAGAATGACCTGCAACCACAGATTTAGGGCTGCTGACATTAGATTACTTATTTTCTGTTAGAAACTGGAGCTAGAGTGTGTGCAGTATTGAAACAATTGGTTGAAAACAATTCTTAATGGTAAGTCTGTAAGCAACGGCAGACATTAGCACCTTAACTCTAAGGATAGCCATGCATAATCTTGCTATTACTTTTCCTTGAGCCAGTTACATACGTATCTACTTTTTTCAAAGACAAAGGAATACAGGATTCAACTTTTTGTCCACCCCAAATGACTTACCAGGCTAAGAGATGGAAAAAGAAAAAAAACAAAAAAAAAAAAAGCTTTGCTCCAATTAATTGTGTGCCACAATACAGTAAGTCCTTATAACATGCCAATCACACAGGTATTGTCTGTGAATTTTTAGCTGAAGTTTTTTAACATTTCTATAACGCATTAATATGGAACACTTTACACCGTGAGGCTTAAAGCTTTTACAATTATTTGATTAGTATTGCACCAATTAGAGCACATTTCCTGATTTTTTTTTTTTAAATCCTGAGCAATTTCAGCTATGAAAAAATCTCTCAAAAAGCTCTTTTCGAACACCATGAACATTGCCTATTTCTTGGTTGGATACAGCATATGCTAAAATAAACCACTGAAAGGACATATAATATGTGACCTTATTTTTTTCATAGCTCATGCCCTATTTTTGAGCAATAGATTCAGGTTGCAAAAGGAAGAATCAAATCCAGAGCTGAGTTTTTAGCACAGAGGATTTCTCTCTGTAACAGCACAACTCAATGTACGGACGTGCCTTAAGTCTCTCTTCCTGGCTATCCTCTGAAGAGGCAGAACACCAAAATAAATAGCACTTCTGCTATATTCTCTTCTATAAGTAAAAACAGGTTTAGGTTTTTGCACTGCAGAAATAAAGATTATCATTCTAAGCAATTGCTCCAGGGATAGGCAGAATCCTTACTCATCCAACAGATAGAAAAAAGCAAACAACTAGGCCTCTGTGCTGGTGGATCTGAATGTTTTCCACGTATGGGATCCTGAAGCTCCCCAAATCCATTGTTTTTGACCAAGGAACTTGCTATTACAACTGGTCAAGTTTTAAAGGGCAAACACCATCTGAGAGAGACACTACGGAAGTTAAACATCCATTGCAGACAGAATAAAATTCTTGAGTTGTGCAGCATGAAAGCTCTCAGTATACATACAAAAAAGGTTCAGCAGAAATGGCTTGTGTGCAAACAAGTTTTCATTGAATGAGCTATTAGAAAATTGGTCAGATAATAGCTAAAGGCAAACAATAACAACAATAATTTATGCAGCCAGATGGTAAACTACATACATTTCGGTAATAAATAACGCAGGAGCATACCTATTCTTTGTCTGCTATTAGCAGAGGCAGATTTTCTCCCTCTTTTGCATACCTTTGTCATGGAAGAACTTAAAGGCTATCTCCCCTCTGCTGCTTAATTAAGGCCTCAACTAGATACAGAACTCCACACCTGGAAGTGGAAGGAAAAGGAAATCTTGCTTTTCCTCTCAATAAAAGACCTGGCTTTTCACTTGGGAATGCACAACCACAAACATTTAAAATGTCTTTTATGATGCACTAATTTGCACCAGATAGGCAATAAACTGCAGGAGAACTTCAAGGAACAGCTATCTATCAGTCTCCTGACTGAGCACAGACTGCAATAAGGTTAGTAAGGTTAGTGTAGACATTCCCTCAAAACATCATTTTCTATTTTAGTAAGTGAAGCACAAATCTGGAAGAATGAACCTTTTCTGATCAGTTTTTCTCTTTTCTATGTGGTACTTCATCACAAAAAGGTGAAACGCTATCAATGCTAGGTGGACAGTCCTGTTCCGGCCACTGTAGTGTATCTGTTTTAACTACTACCAAGCTCCAACTTATCCTTTATATTTATGTCTTCTCCACTTCTGAAAGGTTCTCAGAGAAAAACCTTTTAACTGACCAAGAATCCTGGAAGCTAGTAATTTAAGTTATTCACACCATTATCCTGTATCACCAACACTTGAACAAAGCATAAAATCTTTTTTTATACTTACTGAAAATAATCTACAAAATAACAAACAATCCTCCCAAACCAGAACCTGACATTTAATCAGACAAAACAAACTACAGTACAACTAGCATAGACCTCCACTTGAAATAATTGTATTTTCGATTAATGTTGATCACTGTTAGATTTAATATAAAAATTAAAAGCCTTTTCCTGGACTGTAACAATTGTGGAATTGGGAGCTAAGATAGAAATAAACAGCATAAAGCAAGAAGCCTGCAATGATTCATTCTGACCACCACAAATAGGAAGTAGCTAGCAGAAATAAAACCTTCACTGTCAAATGGAAAATTAGGAAAGATCATCTTTTTTTTTTTTTTTTGCATACTTTCATTTGCCCTTTTTTTCCTTTTGCTTTCTGATAGATACGTGGAATCTGCTTGGAAACAGCAGAACAGCAAAGCATCAAAAACCACTCATCAAACAATTGTGCTACTTTTAATATCTTATTATAGGTCCTAAAACAAAGATCAAAAGGGAATATATCTAAGCATTTATATTCAATTTCACATCACCTGATGACTAATTTGTAAAGAGTGCACAAGTCTTCACAACTGAAGCCAAAATCAATTGAGGATACTTTGATATAATGCCACAAAGGATATGAGCAGGAAGGCAGCAGGAGTTACAAATGGCCAAGGTCCGCTAAAAGTGCTAATAAAAGAATAATGGAATTTCCTTGTACTATGAATAAAAAGTATTTGACACAGGAGAATTTAGACACGGAGAAGAATATCAAAGCTTCTGGTTCATCACTTGCTTCTCCGTATTAGAAATTAATTAACTTACTATTACATTTAACTTAAAAAGCTTCAACTCAGAAGAACAATGATCTAATTCAAAATCTTTTTACACTGATTTCCTTTATTCTTCATGTTTGTCAGTTTTCACAGGCCCTTAACATCTGCTTTACCAGGTCTTGCAGACAATGAAAGCCTATCTATAAAAAAATAGTTTGATGGATTTAACTTGAAATGACATATAATTATTAAAATTATAGAAAACCTACTGTTTGACTTTTTTTTTTTAATGTAAATGTAGGTGGTAACTATAAAACTCTGACAGAAACAACTTGCCTGATGTATTTAATCCATTAATATTTACAGAATATATTTCTTTCTCACAGATGTACCTGTAGTTACACACACGCACACTTTTCCTGTGTTTATACATATAGATAGGTGCACATACATACACACTTCTGCTACCTTCTTTCCCCAATTATAAAACTCAGCTCTTTTTACAAATGTGTATCTATGTATGTAAACTTGCAAAATCACATGCATTTTGCAAAACAAGCAGAAAGAGTGATCTCATACTGCTTATAAATTTTTGAAAGATCTAATATACTTGCTTAAAAAACAAAACAAAACTAACAAACAAAAAAAACAAAAACAAGCCCACAGATTGATCCAAGATTGGAGAAACTCCCTGAAAGTATTTACAAGCTTTCTTAACCCTCTCTTCAAAATCTGCTTAATGCATTCTTTTGCATAATGTCTAAAAAAAAAAAGCATGACAAATAGTTATAGCACAGAATGCTGTAATCACTGCCTTTTGACCCAATTTTATCGTCTCTATCTCCTGGTACTCCAAAATCTTCTTGTAATTGCTTTAGCTCTTTATTTTATAATTGCAAGGTTCTTTGGGAATTGATCTTGTCTTCCCTCCCCTATGGCATGGGGTATAGTAACGTTTCCCAGATTTTACAAATCAGGATCAAGTAATAATGGCAATATATACTTTTTCCTCTTCCCCAAAACAACCAACAGGCTGTTAGCAAAGCAGCACCTTCCAATGAGGATTTTGGAATCAATAGATAATTCATTAGTATCATGTATCTCAGGGCCTAATTGACACAACAGGCTAACCAACATACTCAAGGGTAACACAGTTTCTGACCAGAAAAAAGAGGGGAATCAGATACCACATGACATCACTTTACACGATTTAGTGATAATCTATAAATTATACTTCTAGGAGGTTAATGCAAGTCATTGACTCCAAAAAAAAAAAAAAAAAAAAGCAACTTTCCTTGGCGTCAAGAAATATAGAGAAATGTATATGATAGAAGAATTTAAATAACATGAATGCCCTAACGCTTTCAATTTTATAATTTCCTCTACCTTTTGAATAAAAATAACAAAATGTAGTTATCATGAATGTTTGGAATTATTCTTAACAAGAAATGTAGGTAGCATATTTTTTCTTACCTTATGATCATATGGATTGTATGAATGAAACAGCTGAGACAGATCCTTTGTTCTTTGTTTTTTCTGAAAAGTAATATTAATAAACTGTATCAGAAAAGTTAAAGGAAAAAGAAAGAGACTAGAGATTTAAAAAGCTGTGTGCAGGTACAAACACATTCTATCCCCACTTTGTTAATGGAACTGAAGAGCAGTGTATGCAGATTAAGTATATTAAATATCACAGGAAATAATTAACATATATATTAACAATGCTAAGAACATATCCTTCATAAAAAAATAAATACTAATCTATGGAACATCAGTGGAATGTGTAAACAATTCAGATTTGTTTTAATTTCTGAACAATAAATCATAAATAATGTTTTAGAATATAGATAACAAAGCTTGAAGATTAGGCTCGAATCATGCAAAGACTTGTCTGCTATTCTAGTGTTTACTTGCAGTCTTGCTTTATAGCAGATTAGGTTTAAAAGGAAGGCGGTTTAAAGAAGAAGCATATATTATTTTTCTATTTCTTTTGATGCTAATACTCTCTTTGCCTTGATTGTGGAAAATTAATAGGTGGTATGCCATTTAATGCTAAGGCAAAGGAAAAGAAGCTCTTTCTCTTAGGAACAAAGTTCAAAGACAAACCCTGTTTAATCCAGCTTCTACCAAAATCAATGAAAGACCTTTCAGTGATTTCAGCAGATGTTACATAGAACTCTCTCAGCTGCATCCTATGGAAGGGGGACAGAGGAAAAAACATTCATCATCTTTAATACAGGGATGAGTCACAAATAAGTTCAGAGTTTTCTTATGTCAAAAACTATGTTGACTTTATTCATAGCTCAGGAAGGCAGAGCACTCTATGTCGGAAACCATAAAGAGGAGACAACGACAAGAATTCCTTGCTTGCAGTCTGTACTGTTGTCTTGTTCCACAAAAGCAGTTTTCCAACTGGTAGGATCTAGTCAAGTCTCTAGCATTCCGTGAACTAAATATACAGCTGCACAACTGCACTTCCGAAAACTGTAGGACAATTTAGTAATTTTTCATTATGTATTTCCTTTCCTTACACTGTCTACTTTCAGTGAAATGTTCAGACACATACACTTAGTCACAGAAGGAGTAACTTTAGTTACTTGTACAAATTTATGACAGCTGGATATTTCTGAGTCATTAAAGGCATCGGATTAGTGACCTACTTCTGTGAGGTCACTAACTCAGTTGTGGCCATTACATAGTCAGACAATCTCTTGCCCCTGTTCAAAGAATGGTAAATTTTCTTTTCAGCATGAGAGGGTTATTTCTCTTATAGACAATTCTATTAAATTACACTAAGTAATACCTAACAGGCCTTGTTTATGTGAGTTTACTAAGCAACAAACCTTTAAAACTAACAAAACTGATACTAATAAAGATGTTTCTGTTAGTATAGAATTTCTCAGCAATCCAACATGCCTTTGCCAAAGAAAAGATCTCCCTTAGTAGAGGAATTTTGGCTATCTAGCCCCCATTAACACCTGCTTTATTTCCAAAGGGGTGGGAACAAAACACCAAAACATTCAAATGTATCACAATCTTCACGTAGCACAACCCGAACTCCATCTCCACCCTACAACTTCATTCCTTGTACAGTTATGAAAAGCAAAAATGCTTAAAATCGTATAAAAGGGATTTGGAGAGATGCCATAAGTTGAATTGAGATATCAAAATGATTATTTTAAAGTTTCTTAAAATTAATTTAATGTATAATCATGCAAAAAGTAGACAAAAGCGTTTTAGTTTGGAATCTAGAGACCTCCACTAAACTTTCTAGGAGAAACGAAAAAAATCAAGAAAAAAAAGTAAATTCTTTTTTTCTTCTTTTTTTACTGAAGACTATTTACCTCATTTTGAGTGCAAACAAAGTGATTTTGAGTATTTTTATTGAAATAGCTTCAGTAAAAATCAGTGAAATTTTATGGCCCCATCCTTCACCTTCACACTACGTCTAAACTGCCAGTCACACACTTGGTTAGACAGGACAAAGAATGAAGGTGCCACCCCTTATACATCTTCCACTTTTTTATTACAGGAAATCACAGTTTCTTTCCTCACTCACAAAAGGTAGAAGTTTTGCTCTGTTTTGTTTGCTTATTTACAAAAGGAAAATGCTCCTGACTGAGGAAATGCTGGAAATTCATGAAACAGAGGAACGTGGAATGGAGCTTCCAGAGATACACATGAATAAATGCTCCCAGAAAACTCCTAGGATGTCCTGCCTGCTTAGTTAATCTAAATCTAAACAGTATTTGACTGTTTTTTTGGAACTTTGAATATGATGAGACAAAAATGTTTTAGCATTGTAGCTAAATGTAGCTCAAGCCCTATGTTACTGTCTAGTTAAGAGCATCTCCCCAAAACTTCTTTGCCTGACGCAGCTTGACTCTTACACATCCTTCCCTTGGCCAATATCAAAATGTTTTTCTTCCCTCTGTCTTCCTGCTCTTTCCCTTTGTGTTCCGATTGCCCATTCCTTTGTTCTGTACCAGTACTGCTGTCAAATCTTCTGGTTAAAAAAAAAACAAACAAACAACCACCACAAACCAACAACACGCCAAAACACCTTCAGAATTTAGGCAAATGTACTTTTCCATCATTATGCTCCATGTACAGCAGCACTACTGTTTTCAAACACTCTCTTGGAACTGCACAAGGTATTTCTAAATTTATTATATTTCTGATTTTTTTTTTTTTTTAATTCAACATACAGCTCAGCATGTGGTATTTCCAAAAATGAAAAGAGCAGAGCCTGATAGCAGGGCCTGTGATACAGGGGTAGGAGTTTTGATGGGCTGCAAAATTCTGATGATTCAATCCTGTGCTGACTTAAATTTTAAGCCTACAGAGATACAGACGGGCATTCAGATACTATGTTAATATGGGTCACTTAGAAAAAAAAATTGCATGTGAGCATGCAAACAACTTTTCACTTTTCTGTTTCAATACATTTTTAAAATGTTATATTATACAGGAGATACAACAGAAATACTTTTTATTGCTGCCTTTAACTTGAAGTATGGAAAAGCTTGATGAAGAATAGATGAAAGTGCAGTTGCGGGACCAAGTTTAATACTATAAAATCATATATTTTACATATAAGTATCCCAAGACAGAAGGGCTTCCCCAAGTGACACAAAGCTGTTGTATATGAATTACTTCAATCTTTCTACTAAAATATATGGAAGTAATCAAGCACTTCTCAAACGATACTTTCCAAAATGCAGTTATAAATAAAAAGCCAACATCAACTAATGATATTTCTTACAACATACATAGATAATGTCAGTATCAAAAAAACAACGCATCATAATTTCATGATTTGTTTTTTCTTGTAAGCATAAAAGCATATAACACATTTTAATCTAAATATTTTCTTTCTTTGACTGATTTTCTGGGCCTGAGATTTTCTGAGATCTTACTCATAACTTTTGAGATTTTACAGGGGCATTGGCCGTCTGAGATGCATATCATATACTTAAAATATAGCATCAGTAAAGCTTCCCTTTAGTCCCATTCAGAATTATAAACCAATAAAAGCCAAGAATGATGAGATTCTTGTGGTTTTACTTTTTTCCCTGTGCACTGATTTATGGTAATAATGAAATATTTTCTAATGCTTGAAGACTACAATGTAGATCGTATCACTTAAAGAACAAACAGAATACAATACATAAATAAATAAAATGTAGGTTTAGTCTCTAAAACCACAAAACATTTTCTACACAATAGCTAACCAGCATGGAATTTTGTATTGTCTACTTTAGAAAAATAAAGCTAAACTTAATTATTATTTTTTTTTCTATATAATGGTGTGAAAATAGGGTAAAGGTAGGGGTAACCTAACTACACATTTTTTTTGTGAAGAGAAAATACTTCATAAAAATAAGCTTAGAAATGAAATAACTATACTGAATACTAAACACCATGGACTCACACAGGTATATTACACTTTTCTGGTTATCCTCTTTGCTTGCACAGATGATAACTACGTGTCTTTCTGATAATATTATTGTAGCCTGTAACTTGTTTGCTTTCCTGTAAGCATGGTCTATCATGTTCAGTGTGAATGAGAATTCCAATATCGCTGAGATATTTTTATTATAGATTACTTAGAAGCAGCTAACTTATATGGAATATTCTCAGTTTTTCACCTAGTAATAAAGGATTTTGAGATTACTCCCTGATATGAAACCAGTGATGTACTGTTTTCCTTTAAATTCAATGTTCTGTTTTAATATGTCTGTTTTCACCTTCAAGGTCCTTAATAATTCCAGTCAAATACCACTGCAGATCTGCAGATTCTACCAATTTCTTTGAAGGTGGAAGCCTTATAACATCAGCAAAATTCTCCCTTTCTTTTTCCTGCTTTCAACCCTTACAGTTCCTCCAGTGTGTCGGGCCTTACTCAGAAGCAGGGCCTTGTACCTTGTTCCATTCAAATATCCTTTGTTTCCGTAATGGTGACAGTGAATAGCAATGTGTCAAGGCAACCAGATAAATATTTCAGATCATCTTTCACCTATCTTCTCCCCTATTTCTCTCCTTTGCATCCTACTGGATTAGAATTAAAACAAAATTTAGTTTTGCTTCAGGAATCTTATTTGATTTAGAGCTTATGAAGCATCTCACACACTTGATCACGCTAACAAGTAATAGCAACATTTCTTTCAAACAAGTCTGGGAAACCACATTGCTTGCTTGTGTAGTAGGCATGTATATATAGTAGGTGTATATTTAGTTATATAATGCTAATTTAGAGAATACTCCCCCTGTACTCAGCTCTGGTGAGGCCGCACCTCGAGTACTGTGTTCAGTTTTGGGCCCCTCGCTACAAGAAGGACATCGAGGTGCTCGAGTGGGTCCAGAGAAGGGCGACGAAGCTGGTGAGGGGCCTGGAGAACAAGTCCTACGAGGAGCGGCTGAGGGAGCTGGGCTTGTTCAGCCTGGAGAAGAGGAGGCTCAGGGGCGACCTTATCACTCTCTACAGATACCTTAAAGGAGGCTGTAGCGAGGTGGGGGTTGGCCTGTTCTCCCAC